AATTTTTTTAGTTGGAAAATGTGAAAGTGAACTCAAAGGCGCAAAGTTGCCGAGCATGCAACAAGTTCTGCAATTATTTTTTTACAAAACGCGAGTGGAATAAAATTCGGTGAAAGTCGGTGTAAAAAATACAATTGATGCTACCATTGATTTTTAACAAAAAACAAACATTAATACGATTACCGCAACCAACTGTGTGAAACAATTTTAATGCCGCCACCTGATAGGATTTTTCTATACCAAAAAAAGTTATACCCCTATTTTTTATTTAGAAATCAAAAAATATTTAAAGACTGCTCAAAAACCTCCAAGTATGCCATGTATTTTATATGGGGAAAAAAAACAGATTTCATAGAAATGGTATAGAACTCTTGAAAACTCTGTTTCTCTTTAGGAGATTCCCAATAATACCCAATTGTTTATTTAAGAATTTTTTAATGGTAATAGTTACCAGTTTTATAGGTCCTCCAAAGACCCTATATATATAATGCAATCGGGGACCAATAAAAAATCGTTAGTATTAAAACATTATTAAATAAACAATTGGATATTATTATTGGAAGTCTCCTAAGGAGAAGTAGAGTTCTTCGATCAAAAAATATTGATTTTCAAGAACTCTATACCGTTTCTACGAAAACTTGTTTTTTTCCAGTATAAAATAAATGGAAAAAATTGAGCGCTTTGAGCACTCTCTAAATATTTTTTGATTTCAAAATGAAAAATAGTGGTATATTTTTTCGGTATTTAACAATCCTAGGGGGTGGCGGCATTGAAATTCTGACTTTACTTTATTTTGGGCCACCCTAACGTGCATACATATACATATATAACGCCTCATGTAAAAACGACCCTATAAACATTTTGACGAACGTTCGAAAATTACCTTCAATATCCAATATGCATATCGAACTGAGAACGAACTCATAACCAACCTTGGTTTTCCAACGTTCAGAGTAAATTTGAAATACACTCGAAATGGGTTCGAAAAAAAATTAAACCATAGTAAAAAGAGAGAAAGTGAAATCCAGCTCATTCTCAAAGGAAAATATAAGACACTTAGAGCGATAAAATAAAATTTCAATTCGATAATGGGCCGGATTCATCGAATTCATAACGAAGGGAAAATACAATGGATAACGAAGGTGCCGTTTTGCTGGAGAATGGTTTAGTTCTTGAATCGAATACTAATATATTGCACATTCGTTATCGAAGGTAAGACTCGAAAAAAGATTGGTTTTCCAATCATTTTCGAATTGCTAACCAAGCCCAATGTTTATTGGAGATAACTGGTTTTTTAAATATTACTCTTTTTAAAGTTGAATAGTGTTGTGCTTTTTTAACCGATTTAATACTTCAAAAGCTTGCTGGAAAGGTAATTTTACGTACATTTTAAATAAAACATAATGTAGAATTTTTCTAATATATACATTAGACTGCATCACCAAAAAAAGTTGCGGTTTTTCCGCCAGGATTACAAAATCTATTATATTTTAAGACCAAAATATTTCGGAAAAATATCAAGATTTAAGTGAGCTGGACCGATTTGAAAATACCTCCAAAAATGGAGTTTTTTATGAATAAAAATAGTTTCTTTAAGAACTTTTTGAGAAAAGTCCCCTCAGATGACAACACAGATTAAGCTTAAAAAACCTGCATAAAAATTTTCAAAAATCTCTTCAACGGAATCGTAAGAATGAGATTTTTGGTGCTGTTTTTTTACTTTTTTCAAAGATTGATTTACGAAAAACTTGAATAACTGGGCCAAAGGGATTTCGGAAGAAAGGTATTTTCACACTGTTTTTATTTCTGTGCGAAAAAAAGTCATTCGTGTCCTTTTTTTCAAACACCAACACATCAACTTTGAATGACGTTCGTTCATCCTACCTTTCTCTTTCATTCTAAATCGGAAGAGTTTAGGTTCAGTTCAGTTTTTCTTATACCAATCTTTGAAAAAAGGTAAAAAACAGCATCAAAGATTTCATTACGATTCCGTTCAAATTTTTTTTTTAATTTTTTTTAAATATTTTGATGCAAAATTTTTAAGCTTAAACCGTTTTGTCATTTGAGGGAGTTTATTCAAAAAAAATCTTTAAGAAACTATTTTTATTCATAAAAAACTCCATTTTTTGAGGTATTTTCAAATCGGTCCCGCTCACTTAAATCTTAACATTTTTCCGAAATATTTTGGTGGAAGTCTTAAAATATAATAGATTTTATAATTCCAATGGAAAAATAGTACTGATTTTTTTGTATGGGGAGTGATGCAGTCTAATATACACAGTTAAAAAAAAGAAATGCAAAATCAAAGGAATTGGTGTAATTTCGACATTTTTGGTCGAAAAAGCTCAACCCGGAACCCCTAGGAGCCACGTGAAAGCTTTTAAACCAATTACGTATTTATTTATGTACATTTTTCATACAACATAGAGGCCACTCTAATGTACATACATATGTATATGCATGCGTGTGCACCAATCTATTAATAACGTTGAATTATTTTAATATCTATTGCAAAATTTTATACAGACAAGACTAAAAAGTAGAAAATAAATAATATAAAAAAAGCTTTTTAATATACAACGCTTTTATAAATGGACTAAAAAGTAGAAAGTAATAATTCTCAGTCTAATAGAATTTGTTTTGATAACTTTTGATTTTGAAATTTTAGCAAAAGTCATTATAAACAATTTATGAGATTGAAAATGAAAAGCGTGGGGCGCATGTAATAGACCAGAATTGATATGAAGGGTAGTATATATATGTACGTGGATATATGAATAACGACCGCTTAAAATCTCAAGCTATCAAATTTGTACTTTCTCTGTAGAAATTTTAGATCTATGTTATGTAGTTTGACTATTGTCAATTAAATCTAATGCTTTGTATTGCATGCGCCCCACGCTTTTCATTTTCAATCTCATAAATTGTTTATAATGACTCAAAACAAATTCTATGAGACTGAGAATTATTATTTTCTACTTTTTAGTCCATTTATAAAAGCGTGGTATATTAGAAAGTTTTTTTTTTTATTATTTATTTTTATTTTCACAACTTTGGAAATGTTTTCATTCATTTTTATTTCCAGAAAATCTATATACACGCACGTACCGAAAAAATATTTAATTTGAACCTCCATACATATTCATGTACATATTTCAAGCCCTACTATTTAAATAGGCGGCCGATAAAGTCTGTGGTATGCTGTGGCTCTTATAGCTGCATCCTTACATCTATTCCGTGTGTTGCAATATCTACGGAAGCAGCAGTTAATTTTTTATGAAGAAAATTATTAAAAAATATTCGAAAATTTCTCTACTTACATATATGTTTGGCTTTCCTTTGTTTTATTCCTCCAACATCAAAAGCTGGATTTTTTTTGGAAAAAGTTGGTACAACAAAAAATACGAAACACGTTTTCTGTCAGATAGCTAACATGGCTGATAAGAAGAAGAAGTGAAACTACCTTCTAAAAATTATTGTATCATGATTTGAATGATAATTTTCAAATCAAAATGACAACTGACGGAAGCCGTCATGCGCCCCATTGTGTTTACTTGTCACTGCTAATCACATGAATAAAAATCATAAAAACGAAAATGCGACGGCAATAGTTCTTGTTTCAAATGTTTTGTATCCATCGCACACCACGGAATTTATCGGCCGCCGATTTAGCGGGATTCGCTAGTCTTTCCATTGCACCACAACTAATTAGTCGGAGCGATTAAGTTGGTGAAGTATGCGCACCTCCATACATCTTCATGTACATATTTCAAGCGAGCCCCAACTATGTAAATAGGCGGCCGATAAAGACTGTGCTGAGCGGTGGCTCTTATCATCGTACAGTTTCCTAAGTAAAAACACTATCAGCTGATTGCCAAAAAATGCCTACAGCTGAGATCGCCTGTTTTGGGGCATTTGCTCTTATCTTTTACAATTTCTTTCATTTCTATTATAATTTCTTCCATTTCTATTACAATTTATTCAAAATACACTAACACATTGAACAATGCACTAACCAAAAACACACCTACAGCCTGCCAGGAAAAACGGTAAGAAGAAGAGTTACTTTACTTATGAAACTGTACGATGGCTCTTATAGCTGTGAAGAAAATTATTAAAAAATATTAGAAAATTTCTCTACTTATATGTTTGCTTTCCATTGTTTTATTTTTCCAACGTCAAAAGCTGGACTTTTTTTTTTTTGAAAAAGTTGGTACAACAAAAAATACGAAACACGTTTTCTGTCAGACAGCTAACATGGCGGATAAAAGAAATGAAACTACCTTTTAAAAATTTTTTTATCATGCTGTTGTTTTTTCCACCATAATAATAGATTGGCGCTTGCACATATGATAGTGTTTGGCCGAGCTTCTCTTCCGATCTGTGACGTGCGCCTTGATGTTGTCATACAAACGGGAGGGACCTACAGTTTTACGCCGACTCCGAACGGCGAGTTTATGTTTATGAGAAGCTGTTTTACCAATAAATTCTTCAAATAAAAACGGCCTCACGCTCAATAACAATTCTTCAATATGATTTATAAGGCTAAAAAAACCCCAAATAGTCAAAGACAAGCACGCGTTCAGGCTAAAAATCTAAAAATAGAAATTAACAAAGAAAAACAAAAAGAACAACAACAACAATAACCAAATTATCAAGTCTAAATAGCAGCAGAATAGCTTCCCTTGATTTTCGTTGGTTTGATATATATAAAAAAAGTGGACAACAGTTTATAAGGCGAACTTAGCGCAGTGGGTAGACTGGCTTTGTAAGCTGGGGTCGCTGTGTCGAATCCCAGTGAAGAAGTCTGATGAGAAAATATGGTGATCTCGGAAATAGCAGCTATAACTTCTACCATTTATAAACTATTGTTGTTTTTTCCACAATAACTTTTCAAATACAATCGGCCGCAAGCTCAATATATTTTTTTTTATTTGACATATGTATGTATGTATATCGGAAAAATTAAGATGTGTTTGGTCTATTTATTTACTACTCACCCCGTTTGTGACGTTTTTAAATCGACTTTATAAATGGGCTTACATTTTTCTACTGACCCTTCCTTAGAAACTTTAGCTGGAAAAATAGGAAAATACAAAATAAAAGACGATTTATTTAAATGATGCAAATTGATATGAAACAATGGCTGCGTTTCTTTATACATTCCGGATAATCCCATTTCACAGCCGGAATAAACAGAATGCGTTTGAAATATACGTCACCATATCATCAGGTACGTTCTAAAGAATAAATAAACAAAAAAGTTTATTCCAAACGTTCAGAATGAATAAAGAAATGCAGCCAATATCTGCATAATATCAGTCAATCAATGCTAAGGGAGCGGAAAGAAAAAAAAAGAATAAAAACTAATTTCTATTTTGATACTTTGTGTAATGATGTTTTTGCAACTTGTTGTGATAACATAAATTAAGCCATAATACTTCTTAAAAAACAAATATATTGAAATCAGCTTCCTTCAACATTAAGGCCATATGAACTACATTTGTACTCTTTTGATAATCTTGGTTCCAAAATTAGGGCGTACTCAGCTCATATCGTCGCTTGGCGTGCAATACCGCGCATACGCAAAAGGCAATACCGCGTATATGATGCAAGCCCAATTTTATAGGAGGAAGAAAACACTGGTTTTTTAGCAAAACTCGTGCACCTTTTTTTACTGAACTAATAGTTTATTATATTTATGTTTGACTCACAATATACAAACAATAATTCATCAAAAAGGTCGTACAAACTACATAAAACGGCTTTTTAAAATATACATTACGCTTACGCTTTTATCAACTTGCAATGTTGTGTTCCAGAAACTTTCAATGTTGTGGATCCAGAAACTTTCAATGTTGTGTGTCCGACACCAAAACAAAGCTTTGAAAGCTCCTATAAAAAAGCATAGTGAATAGGGCGAGGTAGATGACATCTAGATGTCGCCCTATGTACTACGTTTGCTACACCGGAAATAGACGACACGCCATTTCTTTAAATAAAATTAATTGGTGCTCGTTTGTATGTACATACATATGTAAATGCATGTGTGTGCACCTTTCTATTAATATCGTTGAATTATTTTAATATCTATTGCAAAATTTTATTCAGACAGGACTAAAAAGTAGAAAATAAATAATATAAAAAAAACTTTTTAATATACAACGCTTTTATAAATGGA